GAACGTATACGAACCATATCCCTTTCCTCCGGAGGTCCTCCGAGTCGGAGTCGGGGTTGGGAGTTGACCCACCCGTCGTTGAGGAAACGATGGCATTGAGGTCGACTTTACCTGTTAATCGTTGTCGTGTTCATGAACCATACAACACGCAGCCATGCGCAGTTTCGGGAATCTAGGTGGAACACAATTGCTCGAAGTGAACTATTGAGGAAACAGCGGGAAGTGAAGAGGGGAGAAGTCTTATTATCAGCACACATGGGAGGGAAACGAATGTAGAATCGTCCTTGGCATGGTTAACAGGTTCTAGGGATTAGCAATGAGCATTGAGACGTTTGTCGTGTTGTGTCTGGTAACTAGGGCTGCAGACGTATGTCTACGGGCTAGCCCGCATGTACAGTAGGTGAACAAAAAAAAAAGAGCAAGGAAAAAGAAAAGAAAGCTCGAAATGGACACCCGATGGTGAAAGGTTTCGCTGAGGCTCTAATTTCATCCATATATGAACGTATACGAACTATTCCCTTCCAAGTTCTCCGGAGGTCCTCCATGTCGGAGTCGGGGTTGGGAGTTGACCGACCCGTCGTTGAGGAAACGATATACATATAAGAGGTCGACTTTGTGTACAATCGTTGTCGTGTTCACGGATATGCAGCATGCAAAGCGGGAGGTGGGGAGGCGGAAAAGTTTTTTATTACCAGCCATACATGGGAGGAAACGAATGTGGAATCCTTGGTTGATTACAGGTTCTAGGGGTTAACATTGAGACGTTTGTTATGTTGTGTGTAGTAGCTAGGACTGCAGACGCATGTCTACGAGCTAGCCCGCACGCACAGCAGGTGAACACAAAGAACAAGGAAAGAGGAAAAGAAAGTTCGAAGATAGACACCCAACGGTGAAAGGTTTCGCAGAGGCCTAATTTCGTCCATATGAACGTGCGTATACGAACCATTCCCTTCCTCGAGAGGCCCTCCGAGTCGGAGTCGGGATTGGGAGTTGACCGACCCGTCGTTGAGGAAAACGATGCGTGTTCACGGACATGCAGTAATGCAGCCATACGCAGCCCTCTCGAGAAATCAGGTTGGAACAACAATGGGGGCAACAAAAGTTGGAAGCGAAGCAGGGGGAGAAGTTTTTTTTTATTACCGCGGGTCATACGTGCGGGAAGACAGAATCAGCCCTTTGGTTGGTTGGTTGGTTTACAGGTTCTAGGGATAACCTTAAGCATCTGTGGATGTTAGCAGGAGATAGAGAGGTTTTGTCGTTGTTGTGTTCAGTAACAGGGTTTGCGAGCTGGTAGTAGGTTTTTTGAGGGTTGTGTTGGATGAGTGACGTAGCACGCAAAAAGGACATGAAGTTGGACACACAAGTGGGTTCACACAAAGTGAAGGAGGAAGGTTGTATTACCGGCCGCGACATACGCATACATGCGGGAAGACAGGAATCGGCTGCTTTGATTACGAGGTTCTAGGGAGAATGTTACAGGAGATGGACGCGTCCGACGTTGTTTTGTGGTTGTGTACAGTAAAACAAGGCTGCAAGCGCGTCTCATACGAGCTAAAAGGTTTTTTGTTGACGCGGTCTAAGAAGCAGCGAATGAGGCTCGACAAAGTTTTTCTCTCTTGGCTCAATTCTGAGTCTTGTTAAGGGTGTGAAGGAGGAAGAAGGTTGTTATTACCGGCCGCGACATACACATACACCATTACATGCGGGAAGACAGGAATCGGCTGCTTTGGGCACAGGGTTCTAGCCTCTAGGAAGAAATGTTACAGGAGACTGACGTCCGACGTTGTTTTGTGGTTGTACAGTAAAACAAGACTGCGACGACGGCATGTCTAATACGAGCTAAAAGGGATTTTTTGACGCGCAGTGAATGAGGCTCGACGAGTTTTCTCTTTTGGTGTCCAATTCTGAGTCTGTAAAGAA